TACTGCTTTGTTTATTATATTTTTTTATTTATGACACAACACTCATATTTCTTCGTTTCTACACATTTGATATTTGCAAACATCGTTTAAAATATTATCCAAAGTCTCTGTGGATTCGACCTCGTTTCATACTACAATCGGCAATTTCGTGTATACTTGCATGTGTTGTCAGCACATTTGTGTGGACGCAACAATTTGCCAATCTTTCCTTTGCAAGACTCGAGGCACACTAATTGATTTTTCGTTGATCGTTTATTTTTGGGATGACCTTTTTACCTATTATGCCCCTCTACTCCTATATTTAAATGGGGAGCAGGAGGACTTACATCAACATAACGTCTTCCATCGATTTTGTCCATAACATCTCCCGAATATTTTAATCATTCTTCCGGCTGTTTTGACCCTTCCTTGGACAAGAAATAGATGGACAAAGACCAGGAATCTTCTCCTCATGACCACGTTGCTACTGGCTCAGAAAAGCATTGAGTGATAGTGTTTTGAGATGCACTGCGAGCGTTATAGAGAGATCCAGCGTGCCCAGCGAAGACTAATCATCGAGGGGCCGCTCTGAGATGGCACGGTGGAGTGGTCTGGGTTGTATCACTTAAGGTGGAAGGAGAGTAGGGCCGGAACCTCGACCTGACGGTGGAGAATCATAACCTGACGACCCGGATTTCTAAGTTATATAAGGCTATGAGGGGAACAGATGAAGAAAGATCCAACCCCTTTTTTCCAAATATAGGGTAGGTAGCTCAAGGAGCGCATTCGCCAACTGGAGGCAAAAATCAACGTTTGGAGGAGCCCAGTGACAGCGCTTTCGATAACTCTAAGTCGGCACTCTCTTAGAATAATGGAGGTAGAAAAAATGCCCTCAATGATGCAATTTAGTAGAAGATTCCGCTGGCAATATGAGGGACTTTATTTCTCATCCTTCTCCTTGTTTCCCTTCTCCGGGCGAGCGATCTATCTCGCGACATATAGATGAGAAAAACCAAAATTATTTTTGAATTTATGGTAAATTATTTTTAGAATCTAAATTACATAAAAAAAAATAAACATAATTCTAATCAAGAAAAAATGGTGCTCACATATATGGTAAAACAAGTCCAGTTAAGTGTAAATATAACTATTGAAACATCTATATCAATTATATAGTCTATTAGTAATAGGCTTTATCATTTGTGCCAATTCAATCATAAGTTGATGGTTTGATCTCCACCATTCAATTTTTGTACTAAAAAAATACAATGATTTGTTATAGTTTAGTAATCAATATTTATTTTTTAAGTGTTTGATAATCAATATTAGTTAATTTAAATATATATATCCAGCCAACTATGTTTTCCATCAATGTTTCTAAAAGGAAAATTGTAACGGGTGTGAAAACTCTTTTGTATATTTAAAGAAATGTCACCTACATTTTAAATTTACAAATATGGCAAAAGGTGAGATTTATTATTTTCAAATTCCAATATTACCTCTTTTTTTTTTTTAGAATTGGGTGGAGACAACTGTGGCGATGGAGAAGCCGATGAAGAATCGGGCAAGGAACAAAGCAGGGGATGAAGCCGGAGACAAGGCTATTGAGGTTAAATAAACCACCGGGGAAGTGACGAGGAAGAGGATGGTAGAGGCAAGCCGCAGTCCGACCATATTGCAGGCGGAGCCAATCATGATTTGGGCGAAGACGGCGCCGGAGACGGAGGCAATTATGGGGATTTTTCAGGGAGAGCACAGATAATCGAGAATTTCATATGCTCGGCATGGCTCAAGGAGTAGTTTTTGTGATCCCAAGTTGGAATTCAAGGGTTTTGGAGGCTTCGCCAGTCCGGGAATTCATGCCCGTATCAAACTTAACTTCTCCAAGTCGTCGATGGAGAAGGACTCTTCCATAAAATTGGAAAGCCATTCAATCTCAGTTATGTCGTCATACTGAGAACGAACCAACAAAAAGTGAGAGAATAAAATCAATGTATTTTATAAACGGGAGGACTAAAAAGAAGGAAAAAAAGGAGCAGAAAGGGAATTATCGGACGCAGAGGTCGCTGGAGAAATTGGAGTCGATGAAAAAATGACGAGGCATATTGGGTTTTAAATTGGCATTGAAGGAAGAAGAATTGGTGGAATTGAGCAAGGTGAGAGTGGAAGAATCAGTGGAGCTTGAGATTTGTGCTCTAAGTGGATTGAACTTAGTGTGTGCTCTGAGTCCATAAAAAAAATAGAATTTTCTAGACATTAAAATTATATCAGAGATATATTAGTGGTAAATCAGAGATACATGTAAATCACTGGTAAATCCTATAATCATAGCAAAAGTTATATTAATAGATATCATAATTATACTATAAGTAAATCAATTTTATATCAATAATATATCAAAATATATCAAGTATTTATCCGATATATATCTTTTATATATATATATATATATATATATATATATATCTATCTCAGTGATACGTCAGTAGTAAATCAATAAAATGGTAAATCATATAATCATATAAGAAGTTCAGTAATAAATCAATAAAATAGTAAATCATATAATCATATAAGAAGTTATATCAGTAGTTTTCGTAGTATATTAATTGTATAACAGTGGTATATTGATTGTATAACAGTAGTATATTAGTTGTATAACAGTGGTAAATTAGAGGTATATTAAGTAATATATCAGACATATGTTAGTGGTAAATTATATATAAGAGTTATATTTGTAGATATGACAGTTATATCAGAAGTAAATAAGTTGTATATCAATGGTATACAAAGGTATATATCAATAGTAAATCATATAATCACATAAGAAGTTATATCAGTAGAGATCATAGTTATATCAGTGATATATCAGTTCTATGTCAATGGTACATCAGTTGTAAATGAGGTATATCAAGTATATATCAGATATATATAATGGTAAATCAATAAATGGTAAATCGTATAATCATATAAGAAGTTATATCATAGTTATATCGGTGCTATGTTAGTTGTATATCAGTAATATATCTCAAGTATATATCAGACATATATATGTGAGGGAATCTGAGGGAAATTGAATCCAACATCCAACAAGTTAGGGATAACAATAAATATAGTCATTTAAAATAGGCAATTTCAAAATATGGTTAAACAACTTTACCCTTTCAATAATGGCCAACTTAAAAGTAGGAAAATATGTACTAATGTTTTAGGACGAAATTACCCTCTTCTAAAATAATTTTAAAATGAATTTGTTATTTTTACTTTTCATAGGAGAATCCAAACCTAACTATGTTTATAGGATAATTCAAATATTTTTAGAATCCTACCTATATTTTTAAAAAATTCAAATAGTTTTCCAACCAATTTTAGAGATAATTATAGTAACAGATCTAAGGAAAAAAACATCTAATAAACATTTATAAACAAAATGTAATTAGAAATACAAATACTAAACACTCAAGCTAGAACAAATGGATGAACAAAAACAACAAATACGGTGAACAGATAAATAAAAATACAACAAATACGAACAACAAATATGGTGAACAAAGAAACAAAAGTATAACAAGTACGGTGAACACAAAAATACAAGAATAACAAATACAAATACGGTGAAGAGAAGAACAAATACAACAACAAATACGGTGAAGAGAAGAACAAATACAACAACAAATACGGTGGAGAGAGGTGTATTTATGTGAACAATTAATACAAAAATATAAAAATAAGGAGAGAGTAACAAATACAGTGAACAAGATCAATTAAAGAAATACAGATATTGTGAAAAAATAAGGTTCCCAATTAATACAAAAATATAAAGCACTCTACCTCACACCGAAAAGGTACACAGATTATGGAAACTTAACATATAGACCTCCCTCTCCTTTACCCTCCACCTGCCGCCACACCACTTGCAACTCATTTCTTTCATTGCCCCACCATTGTTCTGTGCTCAATTCCATCAATTTTTCACATCTTCTCCCTTTTTCAACTCCAGATAGATTCTCTCTAATAGAGTCCTGTGATGTCTCCTTATAATTGGCTAATTCTAGGTTAGAAAAAAAAACTAGAATCAAGGACCCATAGAATATAGGAGAGATAATGGGAGTTAGGATATTTTTATTTTAAAACTAATAAGTAAATATATGGGTAAAACTGTCCAATATGAAACTAAAATAGTTAGAATAATATAAATTAACATTTTTCACTATCAAATATCATTTGACTATTTTCCAATATCAATATCGGGTGACAAATAGGGACACCTACTATAAATTCTTACAAGTATAGGCGCCAGTGTTTTTGGGCTAAATTAAGGGTAATTTTGAGATTTCCATACTTGGCCTCTATTTTTTGGAAATATTTTGCAGTAATTTTCGCAATTCGCTGGTTATTAGGTGAGGAAGCGGATATATCCCAAGGAGAAGAAATGCTGACTAGGATTGAAAAACGACGTTAAAATATTTTTTGCACTAAAAAAAAAAGCAAACAGCAAAAGAATAAAATCAAAAAGAGAGGAAAGAAAGAAGATCTTTTCAAGGCCACAAACAAGCTTGTGGCTGAGAATCACCCACTTCTGCTGACGTGGCATTTCACACCCAGTGCGACCAATATTTAAGAAAAAAAGAACCCTATACGATAAACAATACGTCGTCGTTTACAAAACCTATATTTATTTTCCATTTGAAATTATATATATATATATATATATATCATACTGACCTATTTTATTATCGAAAAACATCAATTTCTTTTTTTAAATATTTATATAATAGAATAACGAGATTTGGTGTTGAAATTGTAAATCATGAAATAGTACGATATTTATTTATTATAGGAATATTAATCAAATACTTAAAATAAAATAATAGATAAAATTTGAAAATAGGGAAAAAGCGTACTAAAAAAACAAAGAAAATAGGGAAAAAGCGGAGTTCTCCTAGTAGGATGTAAAATTTCTCCACGCTGACACTTCACTCGTGTCAGATTTCTCTCTCTCTTTTGGATTTGTTTTCCAAAAGAAAAAATAAAACCGAAAATAAAATAGCAAAAAAAACGAAAAAAGAAAAAAGAAAAAAATGTCGGAGCCAAAGGACCCCGCGATTAAGCTCTTCGGGAAGACGATTGCTCCGCCGGAGGCTTCTCCGGCCACTCCTCCACCGTCCTCTTCTTTAGCTACTCTTGTTTCCGCCGCCGACGGTAACTACGCCGCCGTTAGTCACGACCACGATTCTCCTTCTTCCAGATTATCTCCGGAAGGCAATACCGACGGAGATGGTGAAGATCTGGAGGCCGAGAAGGTGTGGATTTGCCTCCAATGGTTTTTTACATTCTCATTTGCTTTAATGGCGAAAATTTCACTGGTTCGATATTCGTCGGATTGATTTTGTTGACTAAATATATCTTCACCTGTTCTGGGAAATTTAATTAGGTTTCTTTCTAATTTGTTTTCTCGTTTGATTGTCTTGATTTTTGTTGATTGGTATTTTAATGGATATTTGTTTTTACTCGGTGGATTTTGTGAGATCTTTGTCTCTGTGTTTCTGGTTCTGTTCTGAGAATTTTAGATTTTCATTGAATTGAATACTCAGGTTTATCAATTTGGAATTCTTGTCCTGTATAGTGGATTGAGTGGTAGGTACTTTTCTTCTGTAATTTCCATAATAGGCTGTGCAGAATTTTCAGAATTTGGGTTAAGATTAGTGAGTTTATAAGGAGATTCTTGTGCCAGTGAGCTCTAGGCATGTTGCTTAAATTTAGTAATGTTCTTTTTTATGTGTTCATAAAGGAATTTTGTTTGGTATCTGTCTTTGGTATATTAGGAACCCATGGGAGGGAAATCAGGTGGAACTGAGCAAGAGGATGGAGATAGAGCCATGTCTGTCTCGACCGAAGAGTTCACAAATTCGGATACTTCTGCGGTGAGATCGGAGAATTCTAAAGTACCATCTGGTGAGGAAAGTAATCTTTCTAGTACTACAAAGACTGATGAACAGAATGAAACGAGTAACTCGCAAGAGAAGACGCTCAAAAAACCCGATAAGATACTTCCTTGCCCCCGCTGTAACAGCATGGATACCAAGTTCTGTTACTATAACAACTACAATGTGAACCAACCACGGCACTTTTGTAAGAACTGTCAAAGATATTGGACTGCTGGGGGGACGATGAGGAACGTTCCTGTGGGGGCAGGACGTCGTAAGAACAAGAACTCCGCTTCACACCAGCGTCAGATTATTGTTTCAGAAGCACTTCAGCATTCTCGAAACAATGTTACCAACGTTATCCATCATTCTGCACTCAAACCTAATGGGAATGTGTTGGCATTTGGTTCAGACACTCCTCTTTGTGAATCAATGGCTTCCATTTTGAACCTTGCTGATAAAACAAGACAGAATGGCACTAGAAACGGCTTTCATAAACCCGAAGCTCTGAAAATTCCTGCTCCGCCTAATCAGAATGGAGAGAATGATGATCAGTCTCAAGAATCTGCTGCAACTCCATCATTTATAAATAGTGAAGAAGGTAAAGCTGGGCCACAAGAACAAGTGATTCATAATTGTCAAGGATTTTTACCACCTCAGATTCCATTTTTCCCTGGGGCTCCATGGCCTTACCCTTGGAATTCACCACGATGGAGCTCTCCTGTTCCACCTCCAACTTTCTATCCACCAGGCTTCCCTATGCCCTTCTATCCAACCGCGCCATTTTGGGGTTGTACCGTACCCGGTGCCTGGACCATCCCTTGGCTTCCACAGCCGCCATCTTTGAACCTTGTTGCCCAAAACCATGCTCCAAACTCTCCAACCTTGGGGAAACATTCGCGAGACGAGAATGTGAATAAGCCAAGTGATTCTGGGGAGGACGAGCAGCAAAATGAGAACAAAGCTGAGAGATGCCTCTGGATTCCGAAAACGTTGAGGATCGATGACCCAGGAGAAGCAGCAAAAAGCTCTATATGGGCAACTTTAGGGATCAAGAATGACAAGACTGATTCAGTCAGCGAAGGGCTTTTCAAGGCCTTCCATCAACCAAAGGGTGACGAAAAGAATCACAAAGCCGAACCTTCCCCAGTCTTGCAAGTCAACCCAGCTGCATTGTCCAGATCAATCAAATTCCATGAAAGCTCGTAAAAGGGAACCAACCAACAATTCATATCAACAATTGTTCCCACTTCTCATCCGGACGATACATACAACTGCATCGTGTCCATCCTTCTGTTACAAATCTGTATAAATCACTAGACCCATCCGACCGAGAAGAAAAAGTAGCTTCTATGGCTGTTCCCACGAGTTCGAAGACAAAAACGACTTGAAATTTTTATGTGTATTTGTAATGTTTAAGAAGTAGGTGGCATTTTGTCTCCAGTTTGAAGTTTGTCTGAATCATGATGTACATATATATATAAAAATGTATGTGATCCAGGAAAAGCTTAGTTAGTACTACAGAAGTGAGTGAGAAGTAGTAGCTGCAGTAGCAGTACCAATAATAACTATAATGTGTACCTAAATAAATATTTAGAAATCAAAAAACTGATCTTATTAGTTTTGCATGTATGCATTTTTATAGAACTTGTGGTGAAATTTGTGAAAACTGTTTGAAGGTATTGGGGGATGGGTTTGTTTGTCATTTTGTTGGGAGAAAAAGGAAATAAAGAGTTGAAAACCAATGAGGAGAAGGTTGAATGGTAATTTGTGGGCCTCTGAAACAGCCATTTTTGTCAGCTGTTGAAAAACCTCTCTCTGCTGCAGATAAGTGTTGAACTGTCATCACACAAAAAGCCAAGCAGCTTTTTATAACTCCACAACAAAAAAAGTGGCATCAAAAGGGCAGAGATAAAAGCAACTCAATTGCCTAAAAAGTTTTTAATTTACTTTTTTTTTACTGTACTGTTTTTGTTAAAATGTTGAAAATAAAAAAATTCATAAAAAATATTGAAATCAACGTATGCATTTAGCTCTGGTTGAAGTGATTAATATTAATATTATTGTGATATTTTTGTGATGTTTTTCATATCTTTTCGAATGTTAATTTCGAACCCATAGATACATGGATGGAAATATCAACATGTAGATAGAAAATTAATACTCAATTTGTTGGTAGATATTAAAATGGACGGATAATAAGTTTACTTTTTTTAAGGGATAATAAGTTTACATTATAGGATGTCAAAATTGTATTGGATGTTTTTAATATTTCAGAATAGGTATTTTGTAGTAAATTTGGAAAATGAATCTCAATTTAAAAATGCTTAAAAGTCTGTTAGTAATATATTCATAGTAGTTAAATATTTAGTTCAATCTAAAATACTATTAATTATTCTATTAATATATTTTTTTAAAATTTATATAATTATTATTTTATAATATTATATAATATATTACGTTTTACCTATTTTAATATTAACAAAAAAAATGAAATAAGTTTATAACGTGAAATAGTATAATTTATGGAAAAGAAAATTGTTTATCTTTTTAATCTAATTCTGCAAATCTAAAAACATTATTGAAAACTTAAAAAAAAATTTTTTACTCCAAAAACAACACTGAATTCATTTGATCCAGTGTATCTAACAAATACTTCCGAAAAAAATTAAAAATAAAACTACTTTTCTAGAAATAATTTTGAATTTTTTTTTAAAATTTAGACCGTTAGTTAGTTTTCAAGTGATTTTATATGAGTAAAACTACTTACCTACTATTTTGGTGATAAATAAAAAAGTATTTTTTAAAACATTGATTAACACTATTGTAGTTTAAGTACCAAAACATAATTATTATTTAAAAAAGAAAAAATAAATTAATAGATCTACTTTTTTTTTTGAGTTAAAATTAATAGGTTTCTGAACTAATAAGTGAGTGGGTTAAAATTAAGAAGAGAAATTAGATCATTCATATCAAGATGAATTAGAATCTTTTCTCTCTTATAAGATGAATGATAGACTGACATTTACGTAGACCGATGAATTAGAATCTTTCCTCTCTTATAGGGTGGATGACAGACTGACAGTTACATAGATCAATACTCAGTAATACTGTATAAACATGTGTTTATTGTTATATTTTTTTTTGTTAGTGTATTCAAGATGGATTCCATAAAAAAATTTCACCAATTATCTCCTAGTTTTTTCTTTCATAAATGGTCTTCCCCCCTCTCCATTTTTTTTTTCAATTTACTCCATAACGCGACAATAAAAAACGCGACAATAAAAAATACCTCTCCTTCAGTTGTCTTT